TTATTTTTTTTTTTTTTTTTTTTTTATGTATGTTACCGCATAACTTTGGACCACGTCAACCGATTTTTTTTATATGAGAGTTGAAGTCGGTTTTTTTTTTGCTAAAAATTACTTGTTATGTATTATGTTGCAGTATAAACTATATTTTTATAAAAATTCAGCGAAACGAAATTAGTCTAAAAAACTTTGCATACATTGCCAAAAATTCTGCCAATACATTTGTTCGGCACTGTATGCATATTTTTATAAAAAAAAATAAGAAAAATTTGGTACATAAACATAAATAAATAAAATCGTCAAAACGTCAGGGTATACTTATTTTTGACTCTCACTCTAGATATGCACATATGTACATACATACATACGTATAAATGTATGCAACTAACAGCTTATCGCTTAACTGCTTGAAAATGTAAGTACAAATTAAAGGAAGAAAACCCATCCACTAACCAGCCCTTTACAATTTGATAAAATTCAACACAAACTCATGTCGAATGAAAGCAAATTGGATTTTTTATGTTGCTTTTGTGCCATTTGGCGGTTAAAACAAGAGGCCAATGCGACATCACGTTTCCCTATTGACTGACGTACTACCGAACGACCAACTGACCGCCAAGTCAGCCATATAATCACCACAAATGCGCGGTCGCGGTCACTGCTGCTGCAGTCAGTCGCCGTCTGGGACGTTAATTACATTTTGTTACATTCAATTCCATTGTATGCATAGCACCCTTTCCTTCTACAAACACTTTGCACACACTGTCTTTTTTCATTATTATTTTCACTCTTTTATTCTTTTCTTTCCCTTGCAGTTTTCGAGTATTGAAACACCTGGTTATGTTGGCTTCGCCAATTTGCCAAATCAGGTGCATCGTAAATCGGTGAAAAAGGGCTTCGAATTCACGTTGATGGTGGTAGGTGAGTCCGGACTGGGGAAGTCCACCTTGGTTAATAGTCTCTTCTTGACGGATCTGTATCCGGAGCGAGTTATTCCAGACGCCATAGGTGAGTAAAAAAATTAAAGTATTACTTTTAACTTATTTTAGTTTTTTATTTCTTGTATTTTCATGCATGTTTTCAGAAAAACAAAAGCAGACCGTCAAATTAGAAGCCTCTACAGTTGAGATTGAGGAGCGCGGCGTTAAATTGCGTCTAACGGTTGTTGATACGCCCGGCTTCGGTGATGCAATCGATAATTCGGATAGCTTCAGCGCCATACTGCAATACATTGATGAACAGTATGAGCGTTTTTTGCGCGATGAGAGCGGCCTGAATCGTCGTAACATTGTGGACAATCGTATACACTGCTGTTTCTATTTTATATCGCCTTTCGGACATGGGTATGTACCGCAATAAAATTTTGAAATTCTCCTTTGATAATTACCCACACTTTTTAACAGCCTTAAGCCACTCGATGTAGAATTCATGAAAAAATTACACTCCAAAGTGAATATTGTGCCTGTGATCGCTAAAGCTGACTGCCTCACAAAAAAGGAGATCCTCCGTCTCAAATGCCGTATCATGCAAGAAATAGAGGATCATGGCATTAAAATATATCCACTGCCTGATTGTGATTCCGACGAGGATGAGGATTACAAAGAGCAAGTAAAACAGCTGAAGGAAGCGGTGCCGTTTGCAGTATGTGGCGCAAACACGCTGCTCGAGGTGAAGGGCAAAAAGGTGCGTGGCCGCTTGTATCCGTGGGGAGTTGTGGAAGTGGAGAATCCCGATCACTGTGACTTTATTAAGTTGCGTACGATGTTAATGTAAGTTTGTAAAAAAAAAGTCCAATTCAAAAGTAAAATACAATTTTTCAAACTTGCTGCTCTATAGTAATTCGATAAATGCACTTTTCCTTTTACTTTCCAGCACTCATATGCAGGACCTTCAGGAAGTCACCCAAGAAGTGCACTACGAAAATTATCGTTCCGAGCGTTTGGGTAAGGGCCGCAAGGAAAATGGTATGAAAGTCGAGCGCGACTCCATGGTGCCAACGCAAATTGTCGTGAGTAGCGTCATCTCCGAGAAGGATCGAATATTACAAGAAAAGGAAGCGGAGTTGCGACGCATGCAGGAGATGCTGGCGCAAATGCAGGCCAAAATACAAGCGCAACAATAGGTCTAGAAAGGGAGTGTGCGAAAGAGTGCAAAGTAGCGCAGGTGTAAGCATAAAAAACTATATACTATAACGGCAACAACAACTAAAGCAGCAACAATAAAAATAGTAATAATAAAAACCAAATTGACAAGAGCAGCCGAGCGACTGCTGACTCAGGTGATGAAGCTAATATGAAATATGTTAGAGCATTGTATTACTATTACTGGCTAGCCAGAATGTAGTAACACAGCCACAAGCTATTTCGCTAGCTACATCAGCTACAAGCCAAGCAATAACACACCATAACCACAGCTATATATTGTGGGAAGTATAGAGCATTTGGAATATTTGGACTTTTGACCTCACCATTCTGGTTAGCCAGTTAGACACGACAGCAGCAACAACAAGGAATATTAGAACGTTAAATTGTGAAGCTGCGGTGCATTTCTTCACAAATGCCTCCACAAAATTACAATCTTTAAGAGCTGCTTTTTTACTAACAAAATGTTCTAAAATAGTTTTTTATTTCGAATTTTTTTTATTATTAAATAGTTGAGTAACATTCTTGGACCAACTTCTTGCACCTAGACGTTAATTTTATGGTCTTTGTATAAAAATATTGGGCATTGTTTTGTAATTATTAGCAACTATGCTTATTTTTAATATTATTTGATATGTAGTAACTAGTACATATAGGCAGAAACATTCATATATAGCCTTTTCGTATTTGGGTAACTCTATTAAATTCGAAAAAAAGAAAAAGTTGAAAAACTTTTCATACGAATTTCCATGCGAATTTTGAGAGCTCGGTTTAAGTTTCCCGATTTTCCAATTTGAAGAAATACATCAAAAATGTATATATTTGAATATCTTATGTTGTTTTCACGACGGAAACAGTATATTTCTGCAATGTTTTATGTTACGTAAGACGACTTTAAATTCCTGACATGGTGCAAAAAAAATTTACATGCATCGCATATTTAAATCAAAAATATTCATAGTGGTTGAGAATAACCAATGCTGCTTAGGACGAACTCGGTAAATTTTTGGTTAATGTTTTTTAGCCTTCGGTATAACTTAAAATAACAATTATTTGTATTGTTTAAATGAGTTTACATACCCGCCCACACACGTAAACACACACATCTTGAAGTACATTCTAAATTTTGCTCATCATACATACTCACTCTACATACATAATAATGTAGTATTTAAGTACTTCAAACATAATCACTAAGGACCTACGCATGATTAAAACACAAAGCCACCGTCACAAAAAAAGATGTGGGAAAGTATCCATAAACATCCATTTTAACCGCTCGCACTCTAAACATTTCAGTTATTTTACCACAAACGCCTACACGACATCCGCCCATATTTGTTATACGTACCGTACACACAATTACTTGGTCATTGTTGAAGTTTAATTAAACACAGCACTCCATTTTACATATTTGAATAGCCACTTGAGCTTGTTTTTTATTAGCCTTATCTGGTTTTACTTATATGAAAACATAATTTTTTGCAATCTAAAAATTAAAAAAAAAAACATGTATGCAGATAGTATGTCAGTCCTATATAAATGAGAATATATTTTTAATTACACAGAAATGATATGGAAAATATTTTTATATTAATAACTACATATGTAAGCAATATGCTTTCTACATTTTCGAATTGTCTTTGAAATTATTTGCATACATACCTTTTTTGAAAACTAAGATGTTTTCAACTAAAATGTATGCTATTAGTAATAATAATAAAGCGTTTAACTATTTTATTGACACATGTATGTATGTACATCCACATTTCGGTTTAATCATAGCATTTGTAATGTCTTAGTAATATGTACATAGAAAATTTATGAGCTAATAAGTACTTTTGTAAGAAAAAGAAGAAAATGATTTACTTATCTGAAAGCTTATAAGACTTGGTTCTTTTTAAAATATAAATTTTTAGGTGTAAAAAGCACAAGAAATTATTTACAATTAAATGCTTAAAGTTGGAAAATTCACAAACCATAAATGTGTTTGACAGTTAACATTTCTGGTTAAGGAAATGCCCTTTTCTGTTATAATAAAGTAAATATAAATAGTTTTGACAATACTAGCAACTACATCTANGTTGAAAATATAAATTTTTAGGTGTAAAAAGCACAAGAAATTATTTACAATTAAATGCTTAAAGTTGGAAAATTCACAAACCATTAATGTGTTTGACAGTTAACATTTCTGGTTAAGGAAATGCCCTTTTCTGGTATAATAAAGTAAATATAAATAGTTTTGACAATACTAGCAACTACATCTAGATGGTCCTCTGCAATAACGACACAATTCAAAATGCACAAAGTAAAAACTTACTACTGTTAAGTAGCTCAAGTCTATAATCCTTATCTAATTTTTACAACATACTGTAGTAAGTGGATTAGACGAGGATTATCGACATAAGCCACTTAACAGTAGTAAGGGATTTTATATTTTGAATTTTGAATTTTATCGCTATTGCAGAATACCACCGAAGGCACATTAAATAAACTCCCTTTGATTTTCATATATAAAAATCAATTAACAAAAGTGCTTGGTTTCTTTAAAAGCATAAATTGGTTTGTCAAATTTTGCTTGGTGCTGCTCTGGCTTTTTTACTCCTTAGCTTTTCCTATATACACACACATGCATACAAACATATACATACATATAGGTATCATACCTAGATCCATACATATGAACGATTTAGAATCATAAAAAGATATAAGTAACTAAATAAAAAACAATTATTTAATATTTTGTAAACTCTAAACGCTAGTATGTACATAATTACATACAAATACAAATGCTGCATTATTTAATATAAATAAATAGCTATATTAAAATCTTGATATATAGAATATTTAAATATATACTTGCGCTAGTAAAAAAGGAACAAATACGGTGGACCAACAACTTTGCTGTTGATTAATTCAAATATGAAATAATTACAACTAAAAAAACGACACTAGTTAAACAATTTCAATATAAAAAATTTCGAGTGAAAGTTTAAAAAGAACCTACCAACGCATATACATACATACATATGTAGTATATACATACTATGTAGACTCAGCTGTGCGTAAGCGTTGATGTGCTGTGGTATATTTGCAATCTCGCTGTGCATTTCGATCTGCAAAAGCATTATATATAATTATAATAGATTTGCATTTACACCAGCGATTTGCACAAAATTATCAGGACAACAAAGAAAAACTTTTAATTATAAAAATTTAAGCTATATGATAATAAAAAAATACATAAATACATTTATACTCGCTTTTATACCTACATCAAAATAACATGCTGTATTTTTTTTTATAGTTAATTTGTACCATCAACAATTTATTTTGCTCATTTTCGAACTCGTGCACCTTTACATATCGCACACCTAGATCTAAAGTGAGCTAGCTCAAAATTCAGAGGGAAATTGAACTGCTTGTGGATCGTATAGATTCAACGCAATTAATACAAAAACGGGTATAACAGTAGTTTTTTAGTTAATGTATATAATCATGAAAATATTTTTTGAGTCGATCGCACTTTAGATCTAGGTGTGCGTTATGTACATAAGAAAATAAATGCCTGTTATTTAAATACTTTAATAGGGGTATTCTCTGAGTCTTGCAAAGCCCTTTCACGTTGCCTGGTTTGCAAAACCCTTACGAAAACC